TCTTTATTTGAAAAGCCCAGGCTGGCTTCCAGAAGGGCTCTGCCAGCTGAGCTCCCTTGTTTGACCTTCTCCCGGGGCTCCCAGTGGCCCTGAAATGACTCCTCACAGCTTAACACCGCTGAACCCATTCCCACCTGTAATCAGCATCCCGTGACACCRCTGTGCCTCTGGCCTTGAGCTCTCTGCTTTTCTGGGTTATTGTTCTGACTGCTTCAGATGAGTTACTCTGAGCATGAACTCAGCGGCTCCTTAAATATATATCTCAAGTGACAGGTGAGTATTTCACACCCTTTACTTCAATGAAGCCTCGTACAATCTGTCACAACAATGCCTTAAAAATGTTAAATTTGTGACAGACATGTAGAAGCCAACCCATGTTAATCACACTTTGCAGACAGGGCTGGTCAAAGCCTGTAGGAGCAATAACATTTTGAAAACRTATCACTTAATGTTTAATCATTTAGCAAGTTCCTCACTAGGGCAGAGCCATCAGCCACTTCAATGGGAGCTATAGGAGATCACTACAGAATGACATCATTCCATATGGGGCAGAAACAATTTGTAATTAGACCATGGCCTCCTAAACATTTTCTGACACTGAAAAAAGAACAGGATGCTGTATGAACACCCACACCCACCTGTCCTCCTTTGGCACACAGGATGTAGCACAGTGTAAGGACAATGCGCTATTTTAGATGTATAATTGTGCTTTCCCTCTATGACAGAATTCAAATAATCAGCACGTTTCAAATATTACAGCTTGGCCCCATCATTAGTTTTTTGCTGCTACTATCTTTTCATTCATGTTTTTACTCCTCATTTTGTATACTTAAGTAGCTCAGATGAGAGTGACCCTCAAGGAAAACACTCTGCAGAAGTCAGCACAGAACACAATCCTATGCACATAACAGGAAAAAATTCTAAATGCTTTGGCCCCATCTCTAAAGGAAAGTTCAAGTTTCGGATCTCTGACAGATTTTAATACTCAATTCACATTTCATGTCAAACCTGCACTTTGAAAACTTGTCTCAGTTTTGTCACAGGCTTCAGCAAATGATGTGGGCACTGTTGACCACGCACGGTGGACTCGAAAGTGACACCATGTCTACATTACAGAATTACCATGTGCCACACCCTGATGAAGTAAAACATACCTACTCCATGCTTAAGTGATCTTTTTCCCACAGAGCTATTCTTGTGGTTGCAATTAATACAGAGAAGGAACAGGAAAATTTCTGTGCATGCAGGAGTYGTTTTTCCAACTTGCTTTCCTAAAGAAGCTGATGTGCTAACACTGCTTGTTTATATACATCCCACCACAACTTCCAAGCCTTCTGTGAATTCTCAACAAATTTAATACACTGAAAGAAATTTCCAGTAAGATGTATGTCCCCAGTGAGGAGAGGATTGTAACCTGAACTAGATTTTATTCGACAGTATAAAATCTTTCTCATACAGAGCAAGTATGAAAGTCCCAAACATGGGAAATGCTTCATGCAGAACCTGCACCTACAGGTCATTTAATAGCAACATGAGACAGAAACCATCATCAATTAATAATGATGCTCTCTGAACTACAGATGCCTACCTGTCAGTGAAAATCTTCATAGGAAGTCTACAGCATCATTTGGGGTACTAAAATTTATGTGCAGGACTGACTGCTTCAAAATGCTTATTGTAAATATTTTATATTGCTCTCAACCTGATAGCACAGTGACAGGGAATGTTAGGCATTTGGGATGCCCTGGAGGGGTGAAAATAAATGATAGCTCTCACCCCAGTGCTGCCCTTTGAAGGGACCCTAGTTAGCCAGATAATGCTATGGGACAATTGTGGTTAAATCCCAAGAGAGCTTTTGCAGTGTCATCCACGGGAGCCCTGACGAGTGCAGCAGTAATTAGTTCCAGATGAGCACAGGCACACAACTTTAAAAGGGTCTGTGTGCTCCCATGCTAGGAGACAAAAGGCATTTTCTGCCTAGCAGCCAGGTCAGCGTGCTCTGGGAACAGGAGAAGGACCTTCCTTGTTGGTTTGGGGTCCAGCTAGGTGTGTGTTTTGGAGCTGAAGGATGGAATTGCATTCACTGCCAGTGAAAATGATGGGATCATGTTTGCTGGGTAGCTGACAAATTCCCATAAAATACTGTGCAGAAGTTTCTCTGTTTCACAGGGTAGTCCTCTGAGGTCTCTGCTCAGCAGCCCAAGACTTGGCTTTCCTACAGGTGTTCACAGTGTGCCAGATGGTTCCCAGGAACAAGCATAAAGCCCTCTTTCCTAAAGCATCTAATCTAAACACCAGTAATTCTGCACTTTCATATATATCTTTGTGTGTTCTGGCACCTGATAAAAACTCCATTATTTTTGATGAGTGAGTGTCACCTGGTGATCCCACAGCTTCCCCTGAGGAGGTGCTTTCGCAGAGTTCATCCTTAGGTTACACAGGCTATTTTTTTTCCCCAGCAAACTCCAGGAAAGACATCTGAAAAGCACTCTTGTGCATCTTGTTTGGATTTCTTCCTGCCACAGAAGGTACGAGCTAAAGCCCAGCTGCTCTCGGAGAGCCGACGGCTCAGCAGCCGAAYTCCTGTTGTGTGCAGAGCAGTAAAAGCACCAAACAAACGCTAAGTATTGATGGAGCAGCTACAGGTTCATTGTTAGAAGGACCACTAGTGACTACTAAATGCCATCAGATGGTGAAGGACAGCCTGTTAGGGTTTAATGGCTCCTCTCAGGATCCTCAGAAACCAGCTTGTAAAGAGTATCAGAGGCACACTTTGTTTTTAACCAGCCACAAAGGCATTTAACTGAGCGAGCCAGAGCGGGCTCCCCAATACAAATGGTTCTGTCTGAGCAAAACACCAGTGCTGCAATCTCTCTGAAGGAGAGAATAATTGAATCTTGCTGGTTGCTTGGCCCTTGGGATAGGTTAGAGTGGCACCTTTTCTGCAGTCACACTGGGGTTCTGCAATTGACCACAAGCTCCTAAAAGCTTTATATATCCCTAGTCACTCTACACTGGCTATCCAATGATAACCACCCCAACCACTACTGCTGAGCTGAGATTCAAACATGATATGGCAGTGCCTTCTGGACCAGCATGACCCTTAGTGGAAGGATTCTACTTTTTCAGTATTTAAATTTAGTATCTGCTTTTAAGTGATTTAATAAGCACTGTGATGATTCTGTAATAAAAAGTCCACCAAGATTGTTTATTCCATACTTTAAACCTACATTTAACTTTAATTAACTTGCAAAAGTTGTTCCGGAGACAAGGTTTTTAGAGAAACCTTTTTACTCCTGCTTAAGCCTACTCTTCTTGGGATAATGATGGAAGAATCTGCTCACGGATCCATTCATACAAGCACACCACAGAAGACAGAAGCAGTACTTTTTTAATGCTAATGGAGCAGTCCATCAATCCTTGCTTTGCAGCTGGTTCTGGTAGAGTATGAAAAAGGATGCTCACGTTTGCACATTTGATAACACTGAAATGCTTCCCTTCCATAAATATTCCTACTGAAGGTTTGAATTAAACCTTCTTCCATGGTTTCCCAAGTGCAAGGGAAGCCATCAGAGTACTCCCTGAACAGGCTGTCATGTTCCTTAATGACAGAAAGCAAAGCACTGATGCGTGCAGCACAGAACAAGCACGTTCAGTGGGCCCCTGCTAGCCCCTAACACTACCTGCCCCTTGTGGGTGAGCCAGCATCCATCTCCCATGGATRTGCAGTGCTGCTTCAAGAGCACAAATCACTCCCTGCCTGCAGCCACACCTCTGTCAAGATGATAATTCACTGACTACTGAAAAGGCAGTCCCTTTTATCCCTTCCTTTCTTTTTTTTCCTCAGAGTGCCTAAATCAGGCCTGACTAGAGAAAGATTGTATAATCTTGGTTACACATCATTGGTTTTACGTTCTGAGTAAAGCACAAAACCAAATCCTTGCAYACACTGCCCTTAGAAAGCACAGCCTGAGCACAGGGTTCTTTCTAACCTGGAGATTCTGGGAAGCACAGCTGGGGCAGGAGGTGGTACCTGCTGAAGACCTTGCCAAAGGACAGGGTGGTGAGAGCACAAATCAGGGCAATGGATTCAAAGTCCCCCCCAAATGCTCAAATGGCTCCGATCAAGCTGGGGTGAGCACCTATAACCAAGCCCCCCATTTGGCACAAGGGCAGAAGACATTTCTTGGGCTGCAAGCCCAGAGTGTTTGTATCAAACAATGTTTTGGTGCCTCTTCTCACCACTTGTATGCTCCTATAAAAATCTCCAAAATGCATATGCTAATTTCTTCACCTTCTAAGCAACACTTCAAAGCCATTTTGCATACACAGATTTTTAGCTAAAACTTGTACGTTTTTAACTCATTAAAATGTAACTGCTCTTATTCTCACTCTTGATATAGCAGTCAAAAAAAATTCAGTGCTCATTTCAAACTACACTGACAGTATCAAATAATGAGCAAATAAGCTCTTGTTCTGTATGAAAAATGAATCTCTTCTGCTTGGAAAGGAATTCTAAAGAAGAGCTTAGAAACCACCTGGCTTTTATTCATATTTACAGTTGTGTATCTAAGGTTATTTAAATCATGTCTTCATTCCTTCTATTCATAATGTTTTGGAACATAGTGTGCTCCAGGCCAAAACATTAAACTTAGAATATACATAAATGTAAGTGACATTTTACCTGAGCAACATGAGGAGCTCCTGAGACTTTGGGAGCCCAGCCAGCCAGMACACTGCACTGAACTGCACATACAGATAAGGAGTATTTTCTATATTTTTTGTTTGCAACAGATAGTAATTCAGTGAGGAAAAAAATTTCCAAAATTATCTACTTTTTAAAAGCTTTCCAGTATTAGCCCTTTTAATCATCTCTACTTGAGTATTTTTGGACTAGACAACAATTACAAAAGTAAAACAAAATAAAGAGGCAAATRTAAAAAATATCAAATCTAAATAATTAAAAAGCAGTACACTTTTGCATAGATCTGGACACTCACCTATAAGCAGGATTACTAATACATCTGTAATGTAATAACCAAACAGCAAAGGTTTCTGCCAGACTTCCACACCAACAGTACCMGTGAGCAGATATGCTGCTATTAATACCTATAGAAAAAAACAAAGATAACTTATTTTCAGTCTTTTACTTCTAAAGGCACAGAAATTCACTTACCATCTTAATACAAATGCAAAAGTGAAAAAAAACCCCAAAAAACAAACAAACAAACAAAAAAAAAAACAAACTGCTGCCATGCCAAAACAATTACTTCTAAACAGTGAAGCAACTTGCAGGGTCATCAACAGACTTATTTCAAATCAATGAAATATGGTAAGCAAGCAACTTCCCTGGTAATGTGTGCATCTGTTTGTATGTGGTATTACTGATTTACCTGTATAAAATCTGAGTTCTAAATTCACTCTTAATGCCAGGGCTCCCCACTGCACATGCACTTCCCCAATTTTGGATACAGACTTCAGAATTACCTATGTGGTTATTTTTGCAGCTCTGTCCCCTGCATTGATCATATCAAAATAACTGAGAGGGGGGAAGAAAAACTAAGCTCACCTGAAATAATAATAAAAAATAATAAAAAAACTAAATGGCAGGTGAAGAAATTAAAAGAAAGGGAAAGAGTTGGTTTTCCCTGGCTTTTAATTTGTTTGACAGATAATATTGCAGAACACAAGAAGAATCAGTGAAAGGACACATTGCACAAGACTCATGAACATCCAGCTAGAGGGACGGCTGCTCTCTTCTTTCTCTAGCCTGTTTTGTTCTCAGCTGTTCTGTTTTGCCATAGGACCTATAGGCTGTATGTTTCATGCTACACTAGCTCTAAATTAAAATGACAATGTTAATTACAATGCCATTTAGAAAACTGCATAGTCATGTGTTTTTTCCCAGGTAACATTCAGTGACCTTTATATTTTCCTTTCAACACAGATTCTTACTCTGGGATGAAAAATGTTTTCCAGCTTTACTTGTGTTAAAGATTTTACTGTTTCTTATTTAGGATTTTTTTTATATTATTTTTTCTATGTTATGGGTTTTCTTAATTTTACTGTCAACAAACGCATTTCCTGTCTTCTATTAAATTAAATGCTTTAACACAAAGACACACTGAAAATCTCTTTGTTAATTAATCAATTATTTAAGATCACAGATTAAGAGCAGAATGCTGATGTCTCTTAAACTATACATGTGGAYAACCCTGTATTTGATTTCACTGGCTGCCCTGTATCTAAAATTAAGATTCTTGTCCCACCAGTATGTAGACCTTTAAGAGGTTTTGCTGGCATTTGGCATTTCAGAATACTACATTAGAATTGCCTCTGCAAGAGCAAGCAGCACCACAGATCTGCAGCAGGGAAGAGCAGTGGGTGTCATTACATCTCAGGCCACTGAAGGCAGTGAGTCAAATTTTGGTCTGAGTGAAGGACTCGGATAATGGGTTTTGCAATCCGCTACATCAGAGCTCACATTTGGCTTCCTGAAGAAATTGTATTATGTTACCCATAAGACATGACGGATGGAATCCTGACCCCATCAAAGTTGATGGCAAAACTCCAACTGGCTTTGACGGAGCCTGCATTTACCCTCACACGTTGAATCCTGAACAGGCCTTTTTGGCAAGCGATAAAAGAGGAAGTTCAGTATTAACCATTATTACAGTCRGTATTTTTGGCAGGGCAGTAACGAGCATCCCTGAGAAATGTCAGCTCATCGAGGAACGGGAGTGTGGGTGCAATGGGATCTCTCAGGGAATGCCCTGCCCTGGGATAKGGTGATGCAAGACTCCCAGGTCGAGATTGCCTCTTATTTAACTGACGTAGCGTATCAAAAAATCCCACTCCTTAGCTCAAATCTCTGGTATATTGTTTTTTAAGAACTCATCACTTTGACTACATTGAAGCAGTCTCAAGAGACCTCCTTCAGAAAGCTGGAAGGATAAAAAACCTTGACCTTTGATATTAGCAAAAAATTGAAGATTGTCAAAATTATTAGCAAAACTGAAGTGTATTAATCAGTTGTATAACTTGTTTTTAAAGGTATGGCTGCTAAAAAAAAGAAAAAGTCAAGTAGTCTTCCTAAAGGCAGCTGAATAACTCTACTTAAGAAGGCGCCATTTTTTACTTATCTCTCTACCATAGACCAGCTTTAATACTTTCCTACATATAAAGGTACTACTACATATAAATGTAGTCTGTAGCAAATAAAAATTATTCCAATCTTTTGCAAAATGAGAAGTCCAAATTAAATAACTGTATTGGGTTTGTGTGGCCAGGTTTTGGTAGCAGAAGGCTACAGGGMTGGCTTCTGTGAGARGATGCCAGAAGCTTCCCCCCTGTCCAGCAGAGCCRAYGCCASATGGCTCCAGGATGGACCCACCACTGACCGAGGCTGGGCCAGCCAGGTGTGGTRGTAATGCCTCTGGGACAACATATTTAAGAAGGAAACAAAAACTTATTGCACAGTTGTAGTTGCTGCCAGAGAAGAAGTGAGAATGTGTGAAGGAACAGCCCTGCAGACACCAGGGTCAGTGCAGAAGGAGAGGCAGGAGGTGCTCCAGCCATGGGAGCTGAGATTCCCCCGCAGCCCCTGGTGCAGACCATGGAGAGGCAGCTGTGCCCCTGCAGCCCGGGGGTGTCCAGGGGGATGCACAGATCCATCTGCAGCCCCTGGAGGAGCACACAGCAGAGCAGGTGGGTGCCTGAGAGGAAGCTGTGATCCCCAGGGAGGGCCAGGCTGGAACAGGATCCTGTCAGGGACCTGCAGAGCTGTGCAGGGAGGAGCCCACACTGGAGCAGGTTTCCTGGCAGGACTTGTGACCCTGTGGGGAACCCACGCTGGAGCAGCCTGTCTGTGAAGGAAAGGTACCCATGCTGCAGCAGTTCATGAAGAACTGTAGCCTGTGGGATGGACTCACACTGAAGTTCAGGGAGAACTGTCTCCCGTGGGAGGGACCCCCTTCTGGAGGAGGGGAACAACCCTCTGTGAGCAGCAGCTGTGATGAACTGACCACAACTCCCATTCCCTGACTCTCTCTGCCGATGGGGGAGAGGAGATAGAGCCCAGGAATGAAGGAAATGTAGGGGAAAGGTGTTTTTAAAATTTGTTTTACTTCTCATTATCTTGCTCTGATTTTGATTCATAATAAATTCAATTAATATCCCCAAGCTGAGTCTGTTTTACCARTGATAGTCATTGATGAGTGATCTCCCCCTGCCCTTCTCTCAACTCGTGAGCCTTCCATTATATTATCTCTCCCCTGTCCAGATATTATCCCTCCCCTTGCAGATAGCAGTGATAGAGCAGCTGGGTGGGCAGATGGCATCCACCCACCACAATAACACAGGGTAGTGCAGACASATATAACCTTGAATTCCAAACATCTGCAGCATCTGACCAGGAATATTTTTGGCTTGTCAAGACCTTTCCTATGAGGATGAGTGGTACTTATGCTGGGAAAAAGGTGGAAATACAAGGTGTTTATTTGTAGGCTCTTTGATATGGCTGACAGCAGGACAGCTGGATTCTGAGTAGGGGCTCCCTATCTTGACATCATTTTGTAAATAACAGCAACAGAGTCACGCTTGCTTCTCTGTAAAATCAGAATAAGTCTTTGATGTGGCATTGGGAAAAATCTGTACAAAAATAAGGCAGCATAACCCCTCAAAGTCTTCTAGCCACTTACCTGGTCTCTAAAATATTTGGTATTTTTAAATCACCATTTCTTTCATGTCTTTTCACTACTGCAGGTAAAAGTTTTGTGATCACAATATTTTAGATTGTGCATATACAAACATTTCTCTTTTTTGCCATTGATTTACCATTTCTGTTTTACACACAGGTGCATTTAGTATGCTGTGTGATATTCTACATGGTAAAAAAAATCAACTATTTTGTCATATTTTAAAGTAATATGTATATGCTTTTAAATTYTTTATGCTTACACAAAAACACAGCATTAATTTTACTGTAATATTCAATTTCACAAGCACATTGCTATAGCATTAATTGTTCATGTGTTGAAATATTTTCCACTAACACGGTGCTAAAAAAAAGCWTCTAGAAAGCAAAGACAATTAAAATGCAAGGTTATTTTAATCTTCTCAATATAAATATGATACTTGCCTAAAAGAGTAAGAATTATTTCCTACAAGCTATTTCAATAGGAGTTAGCTTTAATGTGATGCACATTTTTTTCCATTTTATTTTTTTCTCAGTATTTTTTCTTTCAATAAATAGTTGATGGTCGCARATCTTAGCCTATTAAAAGCTTTTCCTAAAAAAAGGTCACTTTGCATTTAGACATCACAGATAAATAGCTAAAGGCATGTGGAAGATTAATCACGGAAGGTTTGTGGGGACTCATAATCAAGAGGTTAAGAACGAAGCAGTCTGCTGCAGGAAAAGCCTGTGCACAGCAGGTTCTTCTGTTCAGATTTCTCATGGATACACCATGGGGTCTCCCTCAGATAACTGAGTGCTGAGATCAGCTTTCAGCCATGTCTGGAGACAGCTTGAAGCACACACCGTGGTCTGSTCAGCACTGCTTCCTCACGGCTATCAGTTCTCTTACTTCAGCAATCCCATTGTGCTYCAGCTTTGGAACTAAGTAATAATATTTTTTCTTCACAAGAAAGGCTATGTTTCCCACAGACATTTCAAATTAGAAAAGCTCYGAAAGTATCTTTTTAACTGAAATTAAAATGTGAATCCTGATAACGTAACAAAAAAACAGCATATGTGCATTTTTATTTTGCTTATTAATAGAAAACTTTTTCTGCCCCTCAGAAGAGGTAGAAATTTTTTCAAGATGTCATGTGCACTTGCATTGYTTGGGATTTCTCCGCCACTCGCTGAAACCCTGGCACATCTCTGGAAAAGGTCATATGAAACATATTTCAGCATGAGTTTTGTAAAAAGCTTGTCCAAAGAAAAGCCGGTACATGGCATCCATAAAAGAAACCTTCCCCAGCTTTGACTGAAAGGAAGGAGGAAAGGAAGTKCTACATGTTTAAGTTGCTAGGGGCATTGTGTTCTTCATTTATTCAGAATTCCAAGCAGGCAGAGAGTTCTCCCAGAGGCTCTGGGTGGTACTGGCCAAAGCCACGGGGCAGAAGGAGCTGGGAAAGCATCTCAAACTGAAATCCCAGGGCTCATGGTCTGAGCACCCATCCCTCTATAGGGGCACAGCTCCCTCTATATAGGATTTCTGGTCATCCTGTCCTTGCAGGGCGAGGGCTGGGCCGGAGATATCTGCCTGTTGCCTTTRGGATTTTGCTGCTTGTGCTTCTTCTGAATTTGCCCTCCTGACTGGGGARAGGGAGAGGAAGGAGAGTGGAATCATCTGGGTCACTCTAGATCTCACAAGGCCCTTCACTTTTAAATTTTTAATTAAGAATATAAATRGTATCTCCGGTTACACTTAAGGCAGCACCAATGGAAGCAGAGGTATCATTACATCATATTAAGGAAAAATGAGTATTCTGTTCCCTTGCCACGAACTCAACTGCAGTGGCTCATGAAAAGCAACAGCAGGATTAGGCGAGTATTTCATTAGGGTAATATTAAATTCTTCAAAAGAAAATAGATTTTTTAAAAAACAAAACAAGAGGATGTCCGTGAAAATCAACATATGGCAAGAAGCCAGAAATTTTAGTTTATCAGAAAAGCTTTGTCTCTTTTTTTTTCTCCAAGAAACTTAGTTTGCAGATAATAGCTTTCTTTAGCTGGTCTTGTGACAAAAATAAAAGTCTTTGTTTTCGCAAGATGTCTCCAAGAGAATTTCTCACAGATCATAGCAGAAGTTTATTTTTTAGCCTTTTCTTCAGACCATGACTTTTTGGGTTTCCAATAGGTGTGCTTACTCATAAATGTATGAAAATTGTCTAGATGCTATGGTACAGAGGGTTCTCTCCCTGCACCTTTTTCTGCTACTCAGGAATCAGCACAAGATAGRTMCTTGTGCTGGAGGGAGGAGAGACARGAAGAGTTTCCCCTGCTGCATTTGCCACCACCTTGATTCTGGATCCACAAACATAACAGTCCTCTGACCTAGCATCTCTCAGACGCATCACAGCCATTTTTCAAGTTTACAAACCACAGCTCCCCGTAAATAGTTGTCTGCTGTAATCAAAGCTAATTGGAGTGCCAATTACAGCCCAGCCAGCGTAATTGGGTTACCAGTTCTGATGAGTCAGCAAATCACAGAAAAACGCGATGTGCATCAGTGCCACAGATTCCTCTCTCTACAACAAGGTAATTTTTCATGAGGAACAGCAGCTCTTTCTTTGCAGCAGCAGCAGCTAAGGCAGAGCCTGTGAGCTGTCTGTGTTTATGCACAGCAGAGCTGACTCAGCAGTGGTGTCCCAGGAGCCACTTAAGTGCTCACTAAGGTCATCACTCCTCTATTTGCATGCTGATAGGAGCTGTATTTMTTGAGTTCTGCGGTGATAACAAAGCCCAGAGTTTCCGGCTACAATCAAATCTGAAAGCGGAAGCAGGGGACGAGACCACCTGAGTGTCTGAAATGCCAATGCAACAGCTTGAAGATGTAGGTGAAATTACTGAAGGCAGAACAGAGAGGCATTCTCCTGCAGCAATCCAGCTAGGAATGCCATGGAGGAAATAGTGAACTAAACATTGTGAATGAGCCTGGAAGCAGCTTGTGAGTGCTTTCACACTCTCTGCTTCTAAATGTGACTGTGGCARTATCTGGCAGMGAAGCASTGGGAAAATAAAACAGCAAGAGGAKCAAACCTTTCTTACTCRTCATCAGCSATTTGGTAYTGTYCCCAATRTCCTCCAGGTTACTGGAGATGAAGAACTACCTTTAATTGTGCTCATATCACATAAATTTGCTGAATGGATTTACAAAACAAGAAAAAAWTTTTAGGGGAATTAAGTTCTTTTACCAGACTAGTCAGTAGAGCTGGGAAAAAATACATTATGTACTTTCTGGTATGCAGTAATGTATTTTGGACTAATGGAAAAATAYTACCTTGATCTACAAATCCTGCCTTCTCTTTGTTCACAGGCAATCACAACTACAAAAGCTATATTTTACAGGTGGGAAAATTACATACAGAGATTTCAATAGTACAGTCTCCCTCCACTACTGATTACTGTGCTAAACAGCATTAAAATAATCCTTACATTTACAAGCTAATCACTTTGACTGTAGCCAAGTGATCACAGAAGTTACTAGAAAGCAAGTGAGCAGGACAGCAGTTCAGCATCAGAGGGGAACAGGAAATAGCACTTGTTAGCACTTTGCATCCCAGTTAATCAAATCAGTTTACAAACTTTTCTGATATTCAGCCTTGCCACAAATCTGTCAGGCAGGGAAATATTTTTACCATTATTTCCCAGATGAGAAAACACGAACAGGCACTGACAGAGTTAACAGCGCTGCTCTGCTAGTTGATTCCCGTTCCCACATTTAACCACTAACTCAGTTCGGATGCTGTAGCAATCCAGCAGAGCTTTCTAAACATTYACATGTACAGTGATCATCTGAGCAACGAGGGAAATAGGCTTGAACAGAGCTATTCCTCTCCTGCTGGAAGAACTTCATGAAGAGGCCTTACACAGACAGAGCTGAAACTTGCAGACCAGCTGGCTGCCTAATGTCTTAGTCCTGAGCCAACTTCTTCTCCCAAAACCTATTTTCTAGGGGATGACACAGATGCACCACAGCTGGACCACCATCYCAGAGTTGTTCTCAAACCACTGAATTCTGATTATGTTTACAGCAATACATCTGCAGCCATTAATTCGAATACTGTATTTCCATTAAAACACATATTTGAATATTTGTCAAACTTCTYTTCAATTATGTACATTTGGCTGTACCTTTCATCTCGTGCCTGTGACAGGAATCTCAGAAGACTGACTATGCTCTTCAAGGCAAGACCTTGGYTTTCTAAGACACAGATAAACCAGCCCACAGAAATCCCAGTGCTGTGCCTGAAGATGTTCACTGAGGACACAATTCACTGCAGTGCCCTGGGCAYGTTCCTGAAAAGGTCCACCTCAAGATAAGCCAGTCAAGAACTCAGCTGACTGTGGGCTGATAAGCAGCTCATGTTACTGAATGTCTATGAYTTTTTGACATCCATGATGCCTTTGACTTGTTTCAAGAATAGAGCTCACTTGTGAGCAGTCAATGCTCACTGCATAGCTATGGTGCTATTCCCATTACCACATTTGCTGCAAAACAGGGTAGAATTGAGCAGGTCTGGTAGTGTATAAATGTGTAATTGCTGTTAATAGATACTACTTGGATTTATTCTCATCGTGCCTCACAACCTGGTGTTGGGGGAAAATTTGCTTATGGCRTCAGATAGCACAGCAATTTTTGTAAATATCACAAATCACACGTAGTTAAATGACATTCTCATGGGCACTGTCTGGCTGCTAGGCTTGCTGCAAGCCTTCTTTCTCCTGCAAGGCGATGAATCTCTGATGCTGACAATTCACTTAAGAGCAACCTTTTATTGCAAATGCAGAAAATATTTCTGAATTACTTTTAGGATTTTGCAATTTCACATATTTCAATATCTCAKCCAAATGTATTTGCCTTGAGCTCTATTTTTCTATCGCTTTAATATTATGAAAACAATTACACAGTAAAAAAAAAACAAAACCAAAACGGGGATGATAAATACTTACCACTTGGCTTATATCATATCCCCAAGGAAGAAAAAGAACTCCTGTGTTATATTTCTCCCAGTGTGAACACATGAAGTTAAACAAGACAATGCTTAAATAGATATACATTGTATATACAGAAACTCCGGTCTTCCCATTGTCACGGGAGCAGACAGAAAAAAAAGAAAGCACAAAAATGGAGGTAGCCCAGCTATCCAGCCCRTGGTCAAATAGTTCTCCCAGAGGAGTACTGGACTGAGTCCTTCGAGCATGYTTCCCATCTATGGAGTCTAGAAGGATCAAGAAAGGAAAAAGAAACAAAGAATTTAGGCACAACAAAAGCAGTAAATTTCTTCACATACACTTYGCTACTGCCACATTTAAATAAGGGAAAATTACACCAACCACAGCAAACTGAAGCACAACAGGCCCCTCAGTAACAATAGGTTAGAACTGTTAAAAAAATAATTGCTCCACTTATCAAGTAATTTTTCTGTCCTTAGCTCTGAAACTAAATGCCACCTTCCTCGTGAGTTTTAGAAAGACACTYATAATTACTTGCCCTCAGTGGTCTTGAAACATTTTTACACCAGTCCCTGCAATGAGTTTCAAGTGCTAAACGGTGTCCATATGGCTTCTTGCCCATCCATTGGTGTTGTGGATGCTCTGAGCCTTCAGACCTCTTGTGGGGCAGATTCACTAAGGCATTTAAGTTTCCTGATGCTCAATATTTCAATGACGACTAACTGTTACATGGCAGCTTCAAGGAGAAAATTTCACAAAATTTATTTGTACTTTTTTRCCTACATGTATTTCAAACTGTTTTTCAGTTGAAAYCTTGGCATCCTGGCCTGCMTCAGCARCAGTGTSGCCAGCAAGACCAGGGCAGTGATTGTCCCTCTGCACTCAGCATTGCTGAGGCCACACATCGAGTGTCATGTTCAGTTCTGGGCCCCTCACTACAAGGAAGACATTGAGGTGCTGGAGTGAGCCCAGAGAGGGGCAACCAAGCTGGGGAAAGGGTCTGGAGCACAAATGCTATGAGGAGTGGCTGAAAGAGATGGGGGTGTTTCTCCTGAAAAAAAAAAAGAAGGCTCAGGAGTGACCTGATCACTCTCTACAACTGCCTGAAAGGAGGGTTTAGTGAGATGGGGGTTGGTCCCTTCTCCCAGATAACAACTGACAGAACAAGAAAAACAGTCCCAGGTCACACCAGGGGAGGTTACATTGGACTTTTGGAAATTGGAAAAATTCCTTCACCAAGAAGGTCGTTGAGCATTGGAACAGGCTGCTCAGGAAAGTGGTAGAGTCACCATCACTGGCGGTGTTTTAAAAGATGTGCAGATGTGGCACTCAGGGACATGGTTTAGTGGTGGACTTTGCAGGGCTGGGTGATGACTGGACTTGATGATCTTAAAGGTCTTTTCCAGCACATACAATTATATGATTCTAAYAATGCATTATAGTTAAGGTGCATTATGTGTTGATCACTTTTAGTACTTGAGTGCTTGAAAAATGGTCCAACACTGTCCTGGACCTCACTCTGAGGGTGGAGGATATGGTTTGAGTGGATCTGATAGCTCACTGCTGTTGAAAAGGGGGACCTGCAGCCTGTTCAACTGTGGAAACACTGCAAACATTACCTTTTCTTCTGGGTCACTGAAGTGGTGCTGCGAATGGCACAAAATGCAAGGGAGATGGCACAAGGTAGGGGTGCAGGGAGAAGAAAGGTGGTCTAGCAGCTGTTAGGTTTCTTAGTTGTAATGTCAAACCATAGCCTTAGTCTCTTGTCTGGGACTGTGAAAAATAGAAATCTTTTCCTCTTAAAGTTAAGTGTAAAGRTGCAGGATGAATCTCTTAGGAAAAAATACACAGATTAATTATTGTTGTCTTGAATCTCAAAATAAAAGGGAGAAGTTTTTCTTTYTGATGTTACTTGGAAGGCACTATAGCTAACAACTATTAGCTATTGATAGCATTAATAACCCAAAACTGACCAGGAATACAGCTCAGCAGAGTGACACYAAAGGCTCCACAGCTGCTGTAGATCATATGCTACTTACTTCTCCAGATTATTTGGCAGTACTACGAGTTTTGTTTAATGTAAATATACTTCAGGGACTTAAACCAGGAAAACACAGGATTTCACTTTGTACAGATTTTGGCTATCTCTCTATTACAATACCTAAACAGCTGTGAGACATCCTCTGCTCAAATACAAATCTCTTGCGACAGYTCTCACAACTCTAAAACTTAAATATCTCATGAAGGATTTCAAATATAGCTTGCCTCCTTCTAGAGACACATTCTCTCTCTATTAACATTTCCTTTGAATTTTCGGCATCTTCTTGAAATGTGCAAAAAGAAAACAGTATAAGCTTGAGGTTACTTGAATAGTGTTGCTATAAAGACAGAAATTTTTCCATCCATTAAACAGTATCTCTGAAACTTAACTAGAAAATAAGGATGTMAACAATCCTGAAGAGTTTATGGGGTTTTATATTCCAAGAATACCTCTCCCAATTCAGAGAGAATTCAGTTACTTGGGTGTTATTTTTGAAAAATAAGCCTGTTAGAAGATTTGTCTGTTTATAAATTTTAGGTTGTCACACAAGTATAAGATATTAAAATGTGCACCTCACAGTGAAATAGTGGATTTTGCAAGAACTTTGTTTTTTTCTAAAAACAGGCTCATAATGTTGTCATAAAATACAGTACTTCTAATTATAATGGTCATGGAGAAAAATACAGGAACTATATGACAMAAACATAAAATCCGATTTTCAGAAATCCCTAACTACATTTTCCATGYAGTTCCATTAACTTTTTAAGAGACTGAAAGTATTTTCTGGTTTAGGTTTTAGTTTGAAATCATTTATGCCAACAATGGTGTGTGGACATACACTGTTGCACACTTCCACTGTTTTAGAATTCTTATATTATGATTTTGTCTCATATTCAAAAATATTCAGTTTTGTTAAAGTTTGTATAACTTTTAAAGAGTGGAATTCAAAGTAACTGCAAAGAACACTCCATTTCATGGRAAGGAAATTATACCAAACCACCTTAAAAAAGCAGGGGAGGAAGAACAGCATGCTAGGGAATTTGGAGAGAGTAACTGTGTCATTAAAATAAGCTAAGAAAGATTACAGTTGCATATTTAGTTAGTTAGTATGGCTCTTTGCAGTCTTCCAGAGGGAAAACTTTGGCCATGCAAAATTAAATCTGAGACTAAATATTTCATGAAGTGGCTTGGACAGCAGACATAAAAGTCTACGTATATATTAGTTCATTATAGCTTTGACTGTAAACATAATATTCCTTGTCTTCCAATTATTAGGAACTACAAGCCTCATTGGCAAATACCATCTGTATTAAAAATCTCAGAAGCTGGACTTCCCACAAGCCTTCTGGGGTGCCACACAGTAACAGTTCCAATAAGTAATTCCAATTTATGAAACAATAGATACTTCATTAAATTACACACAATTACATAAAAAATGGTTCTCATAAAAGAAACTACTGCTTCTGAGTACAGGGAGCTGCTAGAGAAACCTGACTAGTAGTCAGCTTCAAGGGATGGTTGTCCCATTGCTTTTTATGGTACAAGTACAAAGAATCTCYGGACAAAATGATTTTGGCACAATCTCAATCACAACTGACTAGAAATTCCAAGGTATGTACAATGCAGAGGGAGATGTCTGCACAAGGGGATACCCCCAGGTCAATCAAGATGGCTCTGCRTGCATGGGTCTTATTCCAAAATTGGTCAGCTCCACTGAGCAGCACTGTATGTATAACACATGTGTACATAGCCTGAGAATCTCAAACATGGCACTCAAATGTATGGCTACACTGCAGTGCCTTACCAGAAACAGCTCCCAGGAGGGTGCACATTTAGAATGAAAGAACAGACTCATTAAGTTTGGAAAGCACCTCCAAGATCTTTGAGTTCAGCCTCTAACTGAACACCACCATGTCAACTACATCAAAATGCTAAGCACCATGTCCAGAAGTTTCCTGGACACTTCCAGGGATGGTGACTCCACCATCTTCCTGGGCAGCCTATTTCTGGGCAGTGTTTAACCACCCTTTCAGAGAAAAATTTCTTCTTGATGTCAAACAGGAAACTGCCRTGGCACAGCTTGAGACCATTTCCTCTTGTCCTGTTGATTCTCATCTGGGAGAAGAGACTGACCTCCTCCTGGATATTGGCTCCTTTCAGGTGGTTGTAGAGAGCAATGAGGTCTCCCCTGAGCCTCCTTTTCTCCAGACTAAACACCACTGCATGCTTTCCACCCATTCTTCCCCCAGCCTGTGGTGCTGCCTGGGGTTATTGTGACCCTCCTGGATTAAGGGGGTCATTCTGCTCCTCATTCCTGCCTACACACTCAGGGTATCGGGTCTGTCTGTTGAAGACTGAGGTAAAGAAGGCATTAAGAATCTCAACCTCTTCCTCATTTTGATTACAATGTTCCCCTTTGCATTCAATAAAGGATGGAGATTTTTCTTGGCCCTCTTTTTGTTGTTAATGTATTTATAAAAACACTTTGTATTATTTTTCACAGTGGTGGCCATATTGAGCTCTGGCTGAATTTTAACCAATCCAGTTTTCTCTCTACAAGACCTAATGACATCCTTTACTGTGCTTTAGTTGTCTGCCCCTATTTCCCAAGGTCATAAATTCTGTTTTTTTTTCTCCCAAGTTCCACTGAAAGCTCCCTATTAAGCCAGGCCAGTCTTCTTCYCTGAWGGCTCAYCTTCTGGCACACAGGGACAGCCTGCTCCTGAGACCTGAAGATTTCCTTCTTAAAAATGTCCAGCCTTCCTGGACCCTTATTGCACAGAACTCTACAGTCCCTTTAAATAATCTACCTGGAGTCTCCCCAAAAAATAACCCTGTTGCACAATGTTGTGAAAAGACTATTTTGAAATGAGAGAGCTTTGAAAGAGAAAGCAAAAAAGCCATGCTAACGTGGATCTTATTCCAAGGTCAGCATCATTTTCAGGTCAATGTCTTCACACCACTGCACAGCAAGGTGCAAGRTACCTAAAAATACAGTCATGACACAGTATAAAGTAGTAAAAATGGGATATGAAACTGAGATGTAAGTGTTAAGGGAAAAAAAACAGCAAGAGTAAAGAAAAAAATACTTATTTCCAAAAGAAGCTCAGGCCTGTCATCACATATGTCATCACCATCTTTCCTGGCATACACCTAAGCACTGAAGAGCCTAACAATTCCCTATTTTCTGCTTTGTCCTTTAYTTTTCCTATCTTTGAAAGCACCCTCTGCTAATGCTGGTGTCAGGGAGCTCCAYTGAATGTCATCATYAAGGGACAAAGATTTTKATGAAAGCAAACACCAGCRACTCTCCTATGAAGACAGGCTGAGAGAGCTGGGGYTGTTCACCATGGGGAAGAGAAAACTACAGAGGGACCTTAGAGCAGCCTCCCAGCACCTCAAGRGGGCTACAAGAGAGCTGGAGAGGGACTTTTTTCAAGGGCCTGTAGTGACAGGACAAGGGGAAATGGGTTCAAAYGGAAAGAAGGTAGGTTTAGATWAGGTATTAGCAAGAAAATCTTTACTATGAAGCCGGGTGAGGCACTGGATTGGGTTGCTGGAGAGRCTGGGAATGTTCCATCCCTGAAAGKKTTTWAGGCCAGGTTGGATGGGGCTCTGAGCAAACCTGACCTAGTGGAAGGTGTCCCTGCACAKAGCAGGGGGACTGGAACTAGACTGCTGCTGCTACAAAATTATTTCCATTCATTCCTCTAAAGTAATGTTCCTCTAAAATAATTTGAACTTTCAAGAGGAATAAGAGTTATGGTAATAGAATCTCTAATGTATTACCTAATATGCTCTTTGGGGTTTTTTTAAAGTTTTATGAACACTTTTTTTTTGGTGTTGTGGTTTGATTTGGGAGGTTTTATTGGTTCGGGAGYTTTTTGTTTGGGTTTTGTTGGTTTTTTTTAATCCAAGAGAACTGTTTTGGAAAGAGATCAGTAGTTCATCCACAATGCCTCTTTATCTCAGAATCAGCACTAGTGAATTTGAAGATAAAACTACATGAAAATGTCAGACATGTAAATTATTTCACCATACATTACCTAAAGCATAAGCACAAAAAGTGGTAAAAGCACTGAACAGCCACACCCAGGTGGGAACAAGTCCAGGACTGGTACCTGAAATAAGCAGGGTAATGAGTCAATGTAACATCAAAGAAATYCACCAAGATATGCATATGCATCCAAACAAGCTGCACTGAATAACCTCCTGCATCAAACAGATTGAARTACTTGGGTCTGACCTTCAGGCATCGGTGAGCTCTGTCAAAGAAGCATTGAGCAGGCTTGGATGTGTTTACAGCATAAAGGACAAAAGGTAATGGAGAGGTTTTTTGGTCCTGAAATGACTCTAGTATTGCACATAACAATGATAGTAACTGGGCAAAAATATTCACAAGTCGTGGGAAGACTACCCATTGAAAAATTAGTTCATGTTAATGTAATATATAGAGATAAAAATAGAAAAAGTTCTCAAGCACTATTATCACTGCCAGTCTGGGGCTTGTGTAGCACTTTTACCACACAGATCTGAACAGGAAGTTTTTGTCCTTAGGCTAGCAGAGATACTAGGACCCTTTATTTTCCCTTGAGAAAAGATRTATTGGACAGAGGCCAGGGTTCTGCCCTTGCTCTGATTCCAGCATTAACTCAAGGTTATTGTTGCTCTTTTAAAGAAATCGATCCTTTTTCCAAAGAGTGTTCTATTTAACTTAAACATCACCCAATAYTGCATCAACACTAAACAACTGTAAGTGCAAAGTCCTCTCAGGTTTCTGTCATTTGGCACCAAACACAGGGAATTCCTGCATACAGAGGTGTGTCCTTGCCTGAATGATGCCAGGAGATGCCAGCACCTAAAGCAGTGCCCTGCCTGCCTTTCTCTCAGTGCCTCATCTTGCCATTCTGAAAGAAACAGTGACAATTCCTGAGCCCTAGCTGCAAATCTGCAAACTGTAGAATGAAAACCAAATTGGGTCTTTTATTTGTGATCCTAGTTATGGGATTAATATTTGATACTCAATAGGGTCTTTAGGTTGCATGACCACTTTCAATTAATTGAGAAATGATGGATGCTCTTCTCATGTGGAATCGGGAAGAGCTGGCAAACTACACATACAAGTCTCAACTCTAACAGACTTTTATCACCATTTCAAATATCTTTAAGTTCCACATATATCCACTGAGAATGTGTCAAGATAACATCATCCCATTAAAAAGATCTCTTCTGGATGCTCGATTGTGACAGGACTGAGTAACTATCTGCAATGAGAAAAAAAAAAACAACCCCAACTGTTTGAGAATGAGGCCAGACAACTGTATCACAAACTGGTCCTGAAAACATAATACTCATACAGGATTATTTTTGAACCAAAACTGCTAACAAGTGTCCCTGCCTCTAGAATGGTACAAAAAGCCTACACCAAAGGTAGCTCCTGAAGCTAACCACAGGCATAAAAAAATTAAAGGCAGCTAAATGCTGCTCAGGAAATAAATTTCCTGCCTCAGGAAATAAAAGTGTTATCTTCACTAAACTGTCTAATTTAAATTAAATCAAATCCTTTTATCTATTTATATTTTTTACTTATTATTAATCATCTGGAAGATTCTTACTACTTTCTGTGGGCTCCAACAGCTGGCCTGAGAAGCCCAAATCAAAYATGCCCTGTATCAGGAGCAATCAGGTCCAAAAAACTTCTGACTTGGTCTACAATGAGGAGCAAACATGGACATTCAAATTATGACTTTGGAAGTCATAATTTGAAGAGACATTCATTTAGAAACTATGTTTTTGTCTAGAAGCAGTCTTGAATGGGGGGTGTGTATGTGTGGAATGATGAAAAGGGAAGTTAACTAATTTAGGCATCAGTTTGGGTATTAGGAAATGTGAAAACAGTGAAAATGTTATGAGGAATATTCAAGTGGGTTTTGACTGCGTACTTTAACCCTGGAATAAACTTTAAATAAATGAGATCTTATCAGAGACTTCAAGCAGCATATGCCAAAACCCATTTTAGGGATAAAATTAAATAAGATTTTTCAATAAAATGATCTAAATTAATAATGCCATGTGTGAGATTGATTCTCCTATATGCACTTATTGGAGCCTCATTTAGGTTATAAGTGGAAGATTCAAGTGTCTGATACCTCCCTGTAACATTCAGAAGTATAAGCAATTCAGTAATTCTGAAAAATTACCATGTGAAGATATTTACCTGAGGCAGTGTAGTCCCAGTCATAAAAAGATATTAGAAAATAATTAAATAAAATCATGACAAATCCAGAGAACGTTAACAGGTTGGGAGCAATCCACAAAGGCACTATCTGTTAAGAAATGAAGGGGAAAACATTCAGAAAAATTKTATTTAAAAATGAACATCCTATTTAAATTAAATACTTAGTATCAGGAGAGAAGCCTTTATATGACATCAGCTGTGTTCAGATTCGTGTATATTTCCCCATTTTCAAATGAAAATACAGTTTTAATTTCTGAAATTTATTTTYAAATGCAATCCTTTTGCATGATTTTTGTGACTGCAGTAAGAATGACATTTTAGAACATTGTATTCCCTGTGCTGCACATTATCCTYATTTATCCAGCTCCAAGGAAAGCCTTTTGTGATCTGCTGTATCAGAACTGAAAGAGAACTGCAGCACCCCAGTGTGGTAACTCAGCATCCACGTGGCAGGTTTTTTAAACATTCTATTCCCACACTATAGCAGGGAAAGTTCTTCYTCTAAAACATGCAAATAATTTCTGACTCAAAACATAAAAAAAAAATCAGACCCTGAGTGCATTCAACTTTTAAATTCGGACCTCCCTGTTACAAGCATCTCCYTATTTCTCTAGGTAGTAACTTTCTGACTGGGTCTCTCTCTTTACTCATGAATTGTAAACACTCCATTAATTCATTTTACTTTGCAGGGTGCTGAAAAGCACTCTCTGCCTTCAGCTAAACCTCTAATTCTTTGTTTCAGTAACCATCCTCAGGTATTCATTCCTTGTGGCTTTGAGGTGCTCTTTACACTACAACAGGAATCTCTTTTGGCAACACTCTTCCCAAGTAACACGGTTTCTCCAGAATACTTTTTGAAATAGAAAAATCTACATGATTTTTTAGACAGTACATATTTGCAGAAATACTAAGTATCAACCATTACCATCAAATACATTGTCAAGATATTTAAAATACAAAAATACCAGAGGCTTAAAATTAAATTATTTGGAGAGTCTAAGGACTCAAAATGTATATAAAGTGCTTCAACACTATTAAATATTACAAGACAATATTAAAGAAAATCAAGCAAAATAATTTCTGATACTAACAATAGACTAACTATTATTAGTTAGTTAATTTTAGTTAGTTAATTTTTATTAGTTAATAACTAATATTTTTGAAATAAAATGTTTTGTTAATATCACTGGATGAGCTAGATGAACAGACAGATGAATACATATTCATTTGCATACATCTTTATGTTTCTTCTATCCRTCTCTTACATGAAAACTTTACTTTTAAAATCTGAATGCTTGGACTGATTACCTATCCTAAATAGATTATAGAAAAATTGATAATATTCAGGAGGAATTGTGTAACTGATAGTGTACAGACTTAGTGTACACTTCCAAAAATCAGATTAAAATTCCTGAACAATTTACCATAATGTTTCWTAGATGTTTTTTTGTAATAACATTGGGAAAACTATTATATCTGATAGTTGCTTTCCTCCTCAGCAGGATTTTATCACTGCTTTAAAACACTGCTTGTAGTATTTAAAATACACAATGGAATGCATACAGTTACAATTGAAAAAAGTAACATATCCATCATCCTAAGTGTTCAAAAGGGCAAATTTAAACCTCTAAGAAAAGGGAAAGCAAATGTCCCCTGAAGTTCCTTTTGGAGAACATCTAAGGAGGAACCCTTCACTGCAAGGTCCCCTTTTCTTACACTGACTGCATGCTCCCCATCTCCCGGTTTTGCTGCCAGAGGATGCACAAGATGAATCTCCTGCTGGGGACTTTATCTGGTGTCTATGACCATACATGAAATAAGAAACACAGACACTGAAAAAATTCTGGATTTGTCTCGCTTAATCTAAATCATGGCTCAAAGTAGTGCTTTAAGACACTATGGATAAAATGTTTACATGGATATATAGATGCCAACCAATGTACTGTTTTTAACCGACTGCCTTTTCCTGGACGATTCATAAAAATTGTTGGCTAGTAAATCAAGTGATGCTCCACAAATGTCTGCTTTCTAATTAGGCTCATCATTCTAAACAGTCACAATGTCATTATTAAGTTATTACAGGAAATAACTTATGCTTACATGGTGCAAACATGAAGAAGTTATCGTAACCCACTTTCCTGCTAACATTGTGTATTTTAAGAAGGAAACCTTCAAAGGATGTTGTAATAGYTGCAATCCCTTTGGCTAGCAGACACACCATGAAGAACAGGAGTTCTGTCCTCCAGAAAAAAAAAGACTCTCCTGCAGTTAAACCCTTAAGCAAATTCTTTTGATCCTTACCGAACCTAATCTGTCTAGGTATTTGGAAAGTATTGCAGTTGCAAAATCCCTTTTGTTATACTTAAAGCCCCTTATCCTTTTGGTTGGCATTACACTACCATCACCCTAWTTCATAATTAGAAAATCACAGGGTTTTCAAGGTTAACTTCTTACACACCTTGGAGAAGCACAGCCTGGTTTTATTAGTATCCTATAGAAGGATGTGTTGCAACCTTTATTATCTAATTAACAGACAGTAGGGGTCTAATATATCAATATGCTACATGATTGATACAACTGGAGGTGCCATGGGGAGAATCACACCTGCTCTCTGGCAAAACCCTTGTATGCTTGAGCCTGTTAAAAAACTCCTTTTTCCACAAAGTATTAACCAATTTCTGTTTCTCTGGATCTACAGCCATTCATTCTCAAAGCCTTAATACAAACAGCAAATGCTTTAACATTGCTTTACTGTCTGTTAACATTAGCAATGTTAACATTAACATTAACAATGCTTTACTGTCTGTTAATTAGAACAACTATTTGGATAATTAAATGGTGAAGTACACTTTATATAAAGCTCTGTTCAAACTTCACTAAATCCACTTTAGTGAGACCAGTAAAACTCCACTCTKGCCCAATTCCAGTGATAAAATCAAAGTTCATAAAGGCMACAGAGGGGAGTGTAACAGATTTCAGTGAAGTTGACATACACCTGTGTATTCCACTGGGATTTCCTCCTTTTCCTCTCATTGTCCAGCATCCCCACCACAGATAAATGAGCTGGATTATCACATTATGTTTTCAGCTCACAAAGTCACAGATCTTTAATGTCAAGCTTTTCTTAATTTCTTATAACTCAGGAAATACATTTTACAATGAATGATAATGCCTTACAGCATAGGAAACACATCTTCCWATGAATTCTGTGTCATGGAATAGARAG